ATTCAAAGTGAGATGCTTCGATAATTTTTGCACCCTGCATAACAGAATTGTTGATCAAAAATGTACTTTCTTTTTTTGTCTCTCTCTCTCTCTCTGTCTATCCCTGTATCTTTCGTCACTCATTTTATATCAAACTTACATCTTTGTTTTCGTAATAGCGTGCACTTGCAGGATTTCGATGTAGTATAAGTATAGGCATCCTAGATCCATGCATTCTTGTTCGACTTCTGCTAGGCCCGCGAGAGCCTCCACCCTTCGCTGCATTCGCATTCACCACTAAAGTTGCCAACAGTAACAACGAAAGAAACCTGTATCTGGTCATTTGACCTAAAATCAATGATCTTTCGTACATTTGCTTTATCAATCTGTTCAAATATAACGATCGATTTTTTAAATTATTTTTTTATCGCCTTGTTCTACTCGCGTATATTTTTTAATTTTTTGCCTCAACACACACTCAATTATTCAAGGTTTAATTTTTTCCGTCGAATATGTATAATATAAGCTTTTTAATTTGCTGTCGATCATATTAGAAATATCATTATGCAGATTTCTCTTACCGAGTATTTAAAGAACAACTTCTTTTCACTATTGAAAAAGTAAAACTCAAGGATCAGATCCGCCTGACCCTACAACCTAAAATACAAATGGTCCATGTATGATGGGCACGCAGTCACCAGAGACAGAGTTATGAATCTCAATTGGATAATTATGCATAACCCATTGCCAGTATGCTCATCAAGCAATCACAGTAGCAGATTGACTATGGTACAAAACATTTAAACGATGACCTCTGAAAAACAACACGTGGCAATTACATCGCGCGAGTACCAAACAACCCTGCGGGATATTTAACGTGTGATGTAAAGCTTTTCTACTGACGACAAAGGACTTTTAAAGCAATCTTTGAATGCTATTTTTTTTATTCTTCTTCTAAAGAACATCATCCCGCAGATATTAAAAAATACATTTAATGGTCTAAAATGTAACATATTTGAATTTATTATGTTCCAGGGGTTTGTGGAATGTACCATTCATTAGTAATTGTTATTTGATCAATGCTACACTTATAAAGAACAAAACAACACGTCCCTCTTATTCAATTGATGATTTGGATACAGATATGTCTTTTGCATATGTCAATAGAGAACGTTACATTCATATGTATGTTAGTAACAGATTAGATTTTGGACATTTGGTTGATCCAGATACTTACAATATTAAATTAACACATCCGGATTTCTATCAAATATTAGATAATAAATTCGATTGGAATAAAAGATACATACATGAAAACTATACTCTGAACTTCGATCCGAATCATAAATCTCTACAGGCATGTATAACAGAATTATTTTTACTTATTTATTATATAAATTGACTATCTCTTTATTTTTAATATTCATATTATCTTCTACTTCTTTTTCTAGCCGTGTCCAGATGTTTATTGGTTTCCTATTGCCAATCGACGATTTATTAAAGAAATGGTCAATATCGTAGAAACGTATGGTGATTGGTCTGATGGTACAAATCATGTGAGTTTTTTTCTGATCAAACAAATGATTAGAAAATAAAGAAACAATGAATGAATAAACAAAATGATAAATAACACTTTTGTTCATAGGATCCAAGATTATCAGGTGGTTATGAGAATGTACCAACTCGTGATATTCACATGAATCAAATTAATTTTGAAACGCAATGGTTATATTTTTTAAAAGAATATGTTAGACCTCTACAAGAGCTAGTATTCACGGGATACTACCACGATGTAAGATTTTATGTTATTTTACTAGTAATAGATAGACTTATATCATGAAATGTTTTAAACGTTTTATTTTTTTAACAGCCACCGCGCGCCCTTATGAATTTTGTTGTTCGATACCGGCCAGACGAACAACCATCATTAAGGCCGCATCACGATAGTTCGACGTACACAATTAATATTGCTCTTAACGAAGTTGGGGTTGACTATGAAGGCGGTGGATGTAGATTTATCCGATATAATTGTTCGGTCACCAATACGAAACCTGGTTGGATGTTGATGCATCCTGGAAGACTGACACACTTTCATGAAGGATTAAAAGTAACCAAGGGTACTCGTTATATAATGATTTCTTTTGTTGATCCATGACAAGTTTAAAATAAAGAAACTATAAGTTTCGTTCAGATTTCATAAATCTCACGAAAGACTTATATTTCATGTAATTATATCAATTAAATGTGTTCTTTTAACTTTGAATTGATAATATAATTGTGATACAAGATCGTATCATGTATTATTTTTATAATGTTGTATCATAATTGTAAATGCACATACTTCATTCATGATAATAATAATGACTGAACATTTATACAGATTGATGCAAATCGTAAGTGTAAAATTTTAATATACAATGCTAAATTGTTTATTTTTTTCTTTATAATAATAAAGTTTCCCCATTCATATTTTATTCGCTAGTTAAAATCAGAACAACGATGGCTATATAAAAATTCATTTTGGGAACATATTCTATTTCTCACGATAGAAATATTAAAAACATTCCATATCACAACAGTATTGAGCTTTAAAATCTATAGTTAATAAGTAACGAAATATATATGAAAATCTGAGATTCTCTTAGGAACTTTCATAGGAAAAATAAGTTGATTAATATCAACGAGTAGCAAATTGTTAAAAATCGGTTTAATTATATCTCTGCACATTTATTTACATAGTAAAAAAAGTGCTTTTTTAAAAATATAAACGAAACATGCATAATGCAATGGCCCATTAAATTCTTCTTAATTTTTTAATCTTTTTTATCAAGGTAAGTACATTTTAAAGTAATTGAATTATCGAATAATGTTATAGTGCAGATTTTGAAGGATTTAGTTTGAATTTATACCTTCATCATAATGTACATTGCAGCAGAATATTTTTTTTCAAATTTACATTTAGTGAACTTCTGTATTTACTATCTTTTTACACCTCGTTTTTATGGAATGCTACTAGTTTGAATTAATTCAAGAAATAGTGTGTAATAGGCAGTAATGCAAATAATTATATGTTATAAAAATCTTATATCTCTCTGCCAGCGAGTGCTCTAATAATATAGATATTAATATTTGATAAATATAAGATTGTTATTCGAATTGAAATTATTATTTAATTTATCTAGAGATTATTTACAATTTGTTCGTCTCATAGAAAAAATGATTATATATTATTAACTTAATAACCAGCTCGTTTCAATTCGTTTAATTGATGCGCCAATTTTTCTTCCTTAGTTCTTCTTGCTTGCCCTAGTTTCCGACATTCAATATACGTGCTGAGAAATCGCTCAACGTCAACTTTTCCATTAAGGAAATCTTCTGCTATTTTTTCACTCTCTTCATGACTTTCATCCGCTGCTTGCCTTAGGCATTCTTTTATTTGATCTGGTGTAAAAATTTCTGATAACTTATTGTATCGTTGTATTAGTTGGTCATATCTAGCTTTTAATACAGCTACTGTTTGTATTTTTTCTGTAACATCAGCTTGTAATTGTTTTAATTCAGGTTCCTTTGCTGCATTGGCTTCTAGAAGGTAGAAAAAGATATTACAAAAGAATATACTATTATTATTATTACGCCACTAATATACTATTAATTTCTTTTTCATATATACATTTACATATAATATTAAAATTTTATTTGATTACATACTTGCTGTTTTTTCTACCAAATAAATAGTATCTTCAATAGCCGTGTTAATATCCTTTAATTGGGAATGTTTTTCGAGAAATTCATCCTGCCTATCTTCATCTTCGTTAAGTTTTTTCAATTCCTCATTGGACAAATTATTTAATTCTGGGAATATAAAACTTTGCACAACTTTCGTTTGCACACAGCTTGGTAACGTTGGGTGATAATTAGTATTTGTATAAGTAAGGTATGTTGCCCTTTGTTGATTAGTTGTGTATCGAGAAGGGCTGGCATTATGAAGCGTGTTACTTATTGAAGATGAACTGTATGTTGAATGTTGTGATGCAGAGCCAAATGTTTTTGACTGGTTATCTGTGATATACGTATTGCCAGAATTTGTATTATTATAGTTATAAATGCAAGGATTTGTACCAGAAGTTGAATACTGTGGAAATGGTGTATTATAATATGAGTTATAAGAAGTAGGCGGAATATCTGTATACTGTTGAAGCGAGTAGGATGGTGAATTTCTTCCTTGTAAGTCTATAATGAAATAAATCAATCGTTCATATTTTAAAAATCAATTGAATAAAATTTACTCTTTGAAAAATATCAAATAAAATAGGGAAGGAACTTTTAGTAATTTCATACGTACCTCTATGAGGTTTGGCAGATCCAGGTGAAACATATTCTATTACCTGAGGCGGATTTTTACTGAATTCTCTAATAATAGCTTGAACAACACGACCAAGATCGCTATGCACTGTGAACTAAAAAATGTATAATTATAAATGTATAATATTTATTTTGCTATAAAAAAATATATGAATACTGATTTCAATGTAAAGTTTGTTTATAAATTAATAAAATTTACATTAAGTAATCCTGGTGCACTAGTGATTTCACTGTGTTCATTACACCAAGGATGATTTATCGGAGGGGAAACTCTAAGGACTGGCTTTTCAAGTGGAAACTCTGGTGACAAAGAAACCATGATAGCCATACGCCTTTCTCCAGCATTGAACTGTACTTGATATTCCACATCTTCTCTTAATTCTGCTACACTAAAGTATATAAAAAAAAGTTAAAATAAATTAAAACAAACACTGAATTACTTACACGACCTTGAAAACATTTTTGAACTATGTTAAGCCACTATGCAATATTATAGAATGCAAAATACTAAGAATTAATGTACTTTATCAATTTAAATTTTATAAGATAAAATGAAATTGTAAAATTAATAAATATATAACTAAATCTACTGCCTGTACAATATACGCTAATATCTTTTAACACTGTAATGTCATTGTATTTTCGAATAATTTGAATAATCTATTCATTTAATTATTTTCTTAATAATTAGATAATAGTCTATATATTATAAATGTTTCACCTAACAAGTAAAGTTAATAAGAGGTTACGACAAAGGTATATTATCTTACTTGTCGTTAAAAATTTTCAAGGTGTCGATTTGACGTTTTCTCTTAACAGCGACATTTTCATTTTCTCCACGGAATATTCGCGATATCATTTAAGAGAACTAATTTTGGATAAATCATTCGCTTAACTGTCGATCTCCCTGTCAATGCAACCATCCAGTAGAAACAGCTGTTTTAACCTCGCTACGTTTGTGTAGGAACTGAGAAATATTCTCTGAAACATATATACGTACGTACTCATATACGAATATATATTCTTGCAATGTAGTGTGTGTGTGGGTATGTGTGTGGCGCGTATACATATTTAACCAAATAAATCATTGAATGCATTTGTAAAAGATCACGAAGACGGAAGAGACTACAATTTTCTATAATCGTGACATCTATCGATGAAACACGAAACTTCTCATTTATTTTATCAATTAAATTTAATGATACGTCATAATTACTTAATACTACTAAATTTTATTAAAACATATATATAAAATTATAAAAATCAAGTATAATTTTTTTTAAATTTATTTTTTATTTTCATCCAGTTCATGTACTATTGGTTCTATATGTTTTATAAGTTCACCTGAACTCATTTTGTAATCACTGTCAAACCATAATACTTTTAATTTTTGTAAAACTGGTCCAATCATTTTTCCATTCGATACATACGATTTCACCATATGACCATTTATTGGAAACTTAGGAACTGTCCACTTATTAATATTATTATAGAATTCTACCATTCCTTTATATTTTAACAATTCGCATACATATTCTTTTGTATCTGATATTTTAAGCTTTGAATTTAATATTAAAAGCTGATATGGCTTCAATGGTTTTTCACAAGGTTTTGGTTCTCTATGTTGAACTAAAAATAATGCTAAATTTCTTTCATAAGCAGAAAACTTCAATCTACTATGCAAATGCATTACTTCTTCTTCATCTTTCAACAATGAAGCAATTAAAGTTATAGCATGTAATTTAAGTGAATTATTCAACGCACGATAATAAACTTTCTTAAAATTTTCTATATCTGGTTTCTTTGGGAGCCCTATATATAATGTAGCATTACATTCTATCAATTTCATTGTTGATTCTCCACCAAATTTTCCATCTAAAATTCTTTTCCATTCAGACCATATTCGCTCACCAGAAATAAATTCTAAGCCTGAAATATTTTCCTTTATTGCCTTTATAGTATGTTCATCAAACTCATTGGGGTTGTTTGCAATCTTACCATAGAATCGAAAAAACCTGTAAATTGTAATTAAATTCAAATTTAACATAGAGTTATTTGAAATTGAAAAAAATTATTTCATACCTCAAGATTCTAAGATAATCTTCTTGTATTCGGGTTGTAGGATCACCTACAAAAACAATTCTTCTTTTTTTTAGATCATCGTAACCATAAAAATAATCATATACATTGCCCGTAAGGTCAAGAAACATTGAATTAATAGTAAGATCTCGTCTATTAGCATCTAATTTCCAATCAGTGGTATATTCTACTTCGGCACGTCGACCATCAGTTACAACATCAATTCTCAGAGTAGTAATTTCAAAGTTTTCTTTGTCATTAATTCTTGCGGTAATAGTACCATGTTTTTCACCATTTGCATTTATCATTCTTATTTCTTCCTTTGTAAATAAATTTTTCATTTCTTCTGGCGTAGCAGTAGTAGCGAAATCAAGATCTGTTGGCTTTAAGTCCATGAGAATATCACGTACAGCACCTCCTGCAATTCTCAATGGATAATTATATTTTTTAAATAACTCTGACAAAACATTTAATTCCGGTGTGAAAATAGAATGAAATATAGAATTATCCAATTTCATGATGATGGGATTATCTCTGGATGGTGGTGCATTTTCCATTCTAACTCTTATTCTTTTGCTTTTAATTGAACATAAATATCTTAATGTACTATTCCGCTGCAAAGAAATACAATAAAAAATTATAATACTATAATTACTATTTAAATAAATATTTATCTATTTTATATTTTATTTATCTATTTATCAATATTTAATTCTCTAATGTTCATTTTATTTTCAGCAAATATTTTAACCAAAAAGCATTCAAAACATGCATATACTCACGTATGATAATTTTGGACAAAAAGCGCATTGTGTAAACCGTAGAAATTTAAACAAAAATACCATAATTATTGACACATTATATTACTTTCACAGGAATAACGATTATTATTTAGAGTAATATAACAATGTATTTCGTCGAGACACGTGACATTTAAACTATATATGCAATTTGTCTAAATAAGTATTACTGTTTTTCTTTAAAAAACACATTTACAATAATAATAATAATATAATATTAAATATAGGATTATAATTATCTTTAATCTTTATCAAGTTGTATTTATTTATACAATTTTAGTATTTTTTCATTTATTTTATTTGTATATTTAAAAATATATATATCACAGAAAACATGTCGATATCCCTACTACCACATTTAACTAACTTCACTTAGGCGCGAAAATCAATTCATTTCTTTTATCATATCCCAAAACGGATTAAAATCTTTCAATTGATATACTCATATTAAAAATTATTAATTGATTAATTATAAAATTAATAATAATTAAAGTTAAGCAAACTCTAGTATCTAGTAAATAAATAACAGTAAAATACGCATCACACGTTTCAATGATAAATAAAGGAAACGAGGGATTCATAACAATAAAAAATGAATTAACTTTGCCCTAATAAATTTAAATTCATTTTATTACATAATCCTATTCTATACAAATTAGATACTTATTAATAATAATGATAAATTTAAACTGACTTTTTACAAGATATATTTTATATATATTATTCCTTGCTTAAGGAGATAGAAATATATCTGATTTTCATTCATCGAGATGAAATGTTATTTGTTTATTGTTATTTTATTATTATTATTATTATTATTATTATTATTATTATTGACACATGATTTCAGAATACGAAAAAGTTTAAAAAGAAAAAAATATATATTATGATATTAAACCTATTGAAGTTTCATAACTAAGTTTTTTGATTATAGCTAGGATAATTAATTAATTAAACATTTACTTAGAAGAATTTTTGAACATATACATATTTGCAAAAATATAATGCTTTTCTAATATTTATGTATTAGATCTTTGCACGGTTCAATGTGTGATCTTCGTTGCGCCAGTTATTCAAACATGTATATTAACCTATGAATTATAATTTAAAAGTAATGTATTAATCAGCGCATATGAATACACGAAGAAAATAAAAAGAAGAAATCAAGACCTATTTATCTTTTACATTAAATTTTGAGAATAAGTTTGAGGAACGTACACAATGATTTAAAAAATGTCTTATTAATTGAGTTAAATTAAAAATCAATTTACTTATGGATGAAGCGTAAACTTTACATAAGAAATATTAGTACTTTGGTAACAAAAGATTCTAAAATTTAATGATACTATACAGAAAGGAATGAATTACTGTTGCAATCTTCAATGGCTAAAAAATATCTAATTTTGTATCTTAAATCCCTGAAGATATAAGAAATGTAAGACAAAAATTACCAGATTAAATAATACGTGGATCCAAAGTTCGTTAAACTTATATTTCTTGTAAATTCCATAACTTTAACATATATTTTTTGTTTGTTTGTTATTTTATACAGTGGTAATATTGATTTTATTAATTTTCAGTATGAACATTTTAATGATCAACGACTTACAATAATGGCGTTAATAAAATGGAAATGCCGTTTTTATAAAATTACTTGTTTCATACATCCTTGACTATTCCGTGTTTAAGTTCTTTCATATTTTTTCTGTCAACCGATTTTCTTACTGGCGAACCAAAAGCGATAAAACGAAAATAGCGATCTTTTTTAAGCTTGAACAAGTCTGTGTAATTATCGCGCAATAAAAAATTCGTGTTAACAGTTATAGTCCATTTCTTCATTCATTATATAGATTCTTAAGAATTCTATATATCATACTTCAGATAAGTATGATTACATCAACTGTAACTCAATGGTACAGAGTTATAGAGCAATCATAATATACTTTTACTTTCATTTCATTAAGAACGCATTGGAAAATCTTCTGATTCCAGAATGAACAGATTCTTGGCAATAATGTTCATGAAAATAAAATTTCAAAATCTTCTATGTCTGACAATGAAAGGTCTTCTGAGAGATCATTGATATCGAGACTGGGCTCATAATCTGGACTATCATCAGCCGAGTCGTCACCATTTGCACCGTCTTCATCTTCATCCTCATCATCGTCATTATCTTCTCTATCATTTTGTTCATTATCTTCTCCATTTTCCTCAGCGGTAGCATCATTGTTATCGCCATCTATTTTAATAAAATGTTTTTAAATAAATAGTTATTAATGTGTTTTATAATAATTTATACAGGGTGGTTCACCAACTATTAGCACTTAAATATTGACCTTGAATGACCTTGTATGACTTTGAATCATAGGTCGTTGTACTCCACTCATAACCCACTATCATGCTATAGAAAAAAAAACATGTGAATTAATTTTAAAAAATTAAAGTGACCTTAAGAACTTCTGTACGCCTCCACCCACGAAAAAAATATTTATACTATCTTATGTACCTCTTCATGCCATATAAGTTTTTTATATAACATTTTCTATATTATAACAAATAACAGAAATATTTAGGTGCTAATAGTTGGTGGACCACCCTGTATATGACTCACTTTATAATAAATACTATATAACAGAATAATTCACAGAAGTATATAAAAGCAACATTATTTTTAATATAATATATTAATAATTAAGTGCAAAAGAAATAACCATCTGCATTGTTATCATCCGATGCAGAATTGGATCCATCGTCATCACTAGCATCAAGATCATCATCGTCGTCATCTTCTTCAGCCTCGTCTTCATCATCCCTTCGCCTTCCAACATCATATAATCTGACGCAGGATTCTTGTATGCTATCAAATTCTCCTAAATTTTCAACTATAGCAATTTGTGTATCAAATTTATTGCATGCTAAATCATAAACCCCTCTTTTTACATCACACGTTGCTAAAAATTTATAAAATTGATATTTCTTTATATATATTTAAATGTCTAATTAATACTTTTTTTAGCAGATATTTTTCAAAAATTACCTACCAATGTTGCTGTAATCTAATGCGTCTAATGTCTTGAAAGATGTTACATAATGTGATTCATCTTCACTTTCTTGATCTAATGATACTGCATATATAATATTGTTAACAGGTGAAAAGATAACTTCCATTTGATCAAGAGTAGGGACAGTCTTAAGAAGATGAAAAGTACGTAAATCCCATACTTCCGTATTTGATACAACTTCTGTACCATTAGGATGAAATACTCCATTTAAAGTTTGATTAAGTTTATCAAACTTATGTATTTCTTTACCAGAATTGACATCCCATAATATTCCATCACTTAAAACTAATTCATCATTCATACTAAATGTTGCCCGATTTTTTGTATATTGATTAGAAATAGAAGGTGTTAATGTCATTAGAAGTTTACCGGTTGTTATATCGTATATCTGCAATAAAAACGAATATTAGAATATTTATTAATTTATAATAAGTCTTTGAATACTCATTAATTAATAACATAATTCATATTTAAATAAGATTATTACTTACAGTAGCACTTTCTGCTTGTGTACCAATTATTCTATCTTGCAGCTTTCCAAATTCAACATAATCTTCATTTTCTAAGGACAATTTCATGTCAAAGAATGCTCCAATACTCCAAAGAGCTGACATGGGACTTCTCCAAGCAGTTGATGTTAATAATAGATTACCTCGTTGATTACATTCCATATGGTACACATACGACTCATAACACTGATATGTCGCTTCCTCTACTCCTGTATGAATGTTGAACAGTTTCACATCTCCATTATACGTACCTAACATGAGGTACTGTTGACAAGGCTATAAGGACAAAATAGAAATTATTTATGTATATGAATCCTACATATATGATATACAATATATGTTCATTACTTACTGTAAAGATGCAACAAGTAAATGTCCCATCGATATCAGTTGGACGAAAGGTTTTCACAGGACAGAAACGACTATATATATACCTTCTATCTAATCGTCTACCATCTATTCCTAATGCTCTTCTTGTCAGCCTTGCAGTTACATTAGTAGGGGTAGAATTCTTTGTACACGGATCTGGGCACTTGTGAGGCCTAGAATATACAATTATGTATGAAAGAAAATATTTTCTTTTCTTTATTTTACAAATTTTGTTATTTCTATAATTTTGCAAACTTACTCAAAAAGATTAAATTGGGGACACGTAACCATGGGATTTTTGCAAAGAGCATGTTGATTAGTTAAATATTCTGTTATAATTGAATCAAGAGTAATTGTAGATAGATTGCAAGTAGCAACTCCAGTAATTCCTCCACCCCCAGGATCTCTAGAAATTTGTTTTTGTAAAGATCTACAACTACTTTGTTGTAATTGTACTGAGGATTGATTGTTTACAGGTGGAAATGGTGATCTTTCATTTTGTACTGATTTCCTAGGAAATTAAAATCATTATTTTATATCTCACATTATTTAAATTTTAATATATATTTAAAATAAGAATAAAATATGAACTTACTTCTGATTAATTTGCAATTTAATTGGTTGATTCATAGTAGTAGTGGCATTTTGATTAAGGTTATCAGCTAGTTTTACTCGAATTCCATTATTGCTAGATGATGAACTAGTATAGGACGACGTATGCGAAATAAAACGAGTAGAAGATGTGGGAGTAGTGTTTCTACAATTAGTTTCTCGTTGATTACATCTGCTTGTATTATACAAACTAATAGGAGCACCAGGAGAAAAGCCATTTCTCAACTATAAATATAATAAATGATTATAAAATCGATATAAATTGAAAATCAGTAAATCCAAAAGAAATTATAAATTATAAATTTCATATTATATACAGTGTGAGACACGTAACTTGATTACCTCGAATAACTTCTAAATTGTACATTAAATTCAAAATTATTTCTATAAAGGTTACATAGTATCAAAAGGACAATAATGTAGTATAGATGACTTCCTTATAAGTGAAGGCATTTACGAGATTTTAACATCTACTTGATATTCTTTAAAGATACTTTAAATATTTTTGATCTTTAAAGATTCCTTAATCAAATCTCCAAGATCCTTTTGTTTAATTTACAATTTAGAATTTGTTCGAGATAATCAAGTTAGTATATAGAATAACTAATTTTTTTAAATTTTTACTTACTCCTGGAGTTGCAGGACTCCTATAGGTGAATGGTTGATAATTTGTTAATGGTTTCATAACTGCGGGTGAATCTAGATTAGCTTCTCTGTACAATGTTGAAGCAGTGTCATTCAAACCT